CCACTCGGCCATCGTTCTGCAACCTTCTCCTTCTATATCTTCTTCTAATGAAGGTTACTTATATTCCGCAAAAAACAAATTAGCACGAGTTGGGTTCGAACCCACGAGGACAATTGTCCATTGGAACTTAAGCCCAACGCCTTAACCACTCGGCCATCGTTCTGCAACCTTCTCCTGATATCTTCTTCTAATGAAGGTTACTTATATTCCGCAAAAACAAATTAGCACGAGTGGGGTTCGAACCCACGAGGACAATTGTCCATTGGAACTTAAGCCCAACGCCTTAACCACTCGGCCATCGTTCTGCAACCTTCTCCTGATATCTTCTTTCTAATGAAGGTTACTTATATTCCGCAAAAACAAATTAGCACGATGGGTTTCGAACCCACGAGGACAATTGTCCATTGGAACTTAAGCCCAACGCCTTAAATCCACTCGGCCATCGTTCTGCAACCTTCTCCTGATATCTTCTTCTAATGAAGGTTACTTATATTCCGCAAAAACAAATTAGCACGAGTTGGGTTCGAACCCACGAGGACAATTGTCCATTGGAACCCAACGCCTTAACCACTCGGCCATCGTTCTGCAACCTTCTCCTGATATCTTCTTCTAATGAAGGTTACTTATATTCCGCAAAAACAAATTAGCACGAGTTGGGTTCGAACCCACGAGGACAATTGTCCATTGGAACTTAAAGCCCAACGCCTTAACCACTCGGCCATCATTTTTAACCATCTCCCCTCTCCTATCTTCTTCTAATGAAGGTTACTTATATTCCGCAAAAACAAATTAGCACGAGTTGGGTTTCGAACCCACGAGGACAATTGTCCATTGAACTTAAGCCCAACGCCTTAACCACTCGGCCATCGTTCTGCAACCTTCTCCTGATATCTTCTTCTAATGAAGGTTACTTATATTCCGCAAAAAAACAAATTAGCACGAGTTGGGTTTCGAACCCACGAGGACAATTGTCCATTGGAACTTAAGCCCAACGCCTTAACCACTCGGCCATCGTTCTGCAACCTTCTCCTAATATCTTACTTATAATGAAAAACAAATTACTTTTGGTATTCCCCAAAAATTGTCCAAACTTAAGCCCAAGCCTTAACCACTCGGCCATCGTTCTGCAACATATCTTCTTCTAATGAAGGTTACAAAAACAATTAGCACGAGTTGTCCATTGGAAATTGTCCATTAACTTAAGCCCAACGCCTTAACCACTCGGCCATCGTTCTGCAACCTTTCTCCTGATATCTTCTTCTAATGAAGGTTACTTATATTCCGCAAAAAACAAATTAGCACGAGTTGGGTTCGAAACCCACGAGGACAATTGTCCATTGAACTTTAAGCCCAACGCCTTAACCACTCGGCCATCGTTCTGCAACCTTCTCCTGATATCTTCTTCCGCAAAAACCCAAACAATTGTCCATTGGATTTCTCCTCATATCTTCTTCTATTCCCGCAAAAAACAAAATTAGCACGAGTTGGGTTCGAACCCACGAGGACAATTGTCCATTGGAACTTAAGCCCAACGCCTTAACCACTCGGCCATCGTTCTGCAACCTTCTCCTGATATCTTCTTCTAATGAAGGTTACTTATATTCCGCAAAAAACAAATTAGCACGAGTTGGGTTCGAACCCACGAGGACAATTGTCCATTGGAACTTAAGCCCAACGCCTTAACCACTCGGCCATCGTTCTGCAACCTTCTCCTGATATCTTCTTCTAATGAAGGTTACTTATATTCCGCAAAAAACAAATTAGCACGAGTTGGGTTCGAACCCACGAGGACAATTGTCCATTGGAACTTAAGCCCAACGCCTATCTAACCGCAAAAAAAAAAATTATATTACGGCCCCATCCATTGGAACTTAAGCCAACCTTCTCCTTCCTAATATCTTCTTCTAATGAAGGTTACTTATATTCCGCAAAAAACAAATTAGCACGAGTTGGGTTCGAACCCACGAGGACAATTGTCCATTGGAACTTAAGCCCAACGCCTTAACCACTCGGCCATCGTTCTGCAACCTTCTCCTGATATCTTCTTCTAATGAAGGTTACTTATATTCCGCAAAAAAAAAAATTAGCACGAGTTGGGTTCGAACCCACGAGGACAATTGTCCATTGGAACTTAAGCCCAACGCCTTAACCACTCGGCCATCGTTCTGCAACCTTCTCCTGATATCTTCTTCTAATGAAGGTTACTTATATTCCGCAAAAAACAAATTAGCACGAGTGGGGTTCGAACCCACGAGGACAATTGTCCATTGGAACTATAACGCCTTAACCAATCGTTCTGCAACCTTCTCCTCATCTTCTTCTAATGAAGGTTACTTATATTCCAAAACAAATTAGCACGAGTTCTTCGAACCCACGGACAATTGTCCATTGGAACTTAAGCCCAACGCCTTAACCTGATATATCTTCTTCTAATGAAGGTTACTTATATTCCGCAAAAAACAAATTAGCACGAGTTGGGTTCGAACCCGAGGACAATTGTCCATTGGAACTTAAGCCCAACGCCTTAACCACTCGGCCATCGTTCTGCAACCTTCTCCTGATATCTTCTTCTAATGAAGGTTACTTATATTCCGCAAAAACAAATTAGCACGAGTTGGGTTCGAACCCACGAGGACAATTGTCCATTGGAACTTAAGCCCAACGCCTTAACCACTCGGCCATCGTTCTGCAACCTTCTCCTGATATCTTCTTCTAATGAAGGTTACTTATATTCCGCAAAAACAAATTAGCACGAGTTGGGTTCGAACCCACGAGGACAATTGTCCATTGGAACTTAAGCCCAACGCCTTAACCACTCGGCCATCGTTCTGCAACCTTCTCCTGATATCTTCTTCTAATGAAGGTTACTTATATTCCGCAAAAACAAATTAGCACGAGTTGGGTTCGAACCCACGAGGACAATTGTCCATTGAACTTAAGCCCAACGCCTTAACCACTCGGCCATCGTTCATAGTTCTCCTGATATCTTCTTCTAATGAAGGTTACTTATATTCCGCAAAAAACAAATTAGCACGAGAGGGGTTCGAACCCACGAGGACAATTGTCCATTGGAACTTAAGCCCAACGCCTTAACCACTCGGCCATCGTTCTGCAACCTTCTCCTGATATCTTCTTCTAATGAAGGTTACTTATATTCCGCAAAAACAAATTAGCATGAGTTAACCCATGAGCCCAACGCCTTAACCACCGGGTTCGAACCCATATCGAGGACAATTGTCCATTGGAACTTAAGCCCAACGCCTTAACCACTCGGCCATCGTTCTGCAACCTTCTCCTGATATCTTCTTCTAATGAAGGTTACTTATATTCCGCAAAAAACAAATTAGCACGAGTGGGGTTCGAACCCACGAGGACAATTGTCCATTGGAACTTAAGCCCAACGCCTTAACCACTCGGCCATCGTTCTGCAAACCTTCTCCTGATATCTTCTTCTGAAGGTTACTTATATTCCGCAAAAACAAATTAGCACCAGTGAGGTTCGAACCCACGAGGACAATTGTCCATTGGAACTTAAGCCCAACGCCTTAACCACTCGGCCATCGTTCTGCAACCTTCTCTGATATCTTCTTCTAATGAAGGTTACTTATATTCCGCAAAAACAAATTAGCACGAGTTGGGTTCGAACCCACGAGGACAATTATCCATTGGAACTTAAGCCCAACGCCTTAACCACTCGGCCATCGTTCTGCAACCTTCCCTGATATCTTCTTCTAATGAAGGTTACTTATATTCCGCAAAAAACAAATTAGCACGAGTTGTTCGAACCCACGAGGACAATTGTCCATTGGAACTTTTCACCCAACGCCTTAACCACTCGCCATCGTTCTGCAACCTTCTCCTGATATCTTCTTCTAATGAAGGTTACTTATATTCCGCAAAAAACAAATTAGCACGAGTTGGGTTCGAACCCACGAGGACAATTGTCCATTGGAACTTAAGCCCAACGCCTTAACCACTCGGCCATCGTTCTGCAACCTTCTCCTGATATCTTCTTCTAATGAAGGTTACTTATATTCCGCAAAAAACAAATTAGCACGAGTTGGGTTCGAACCCACGAGGACAATTGTCCATTGGAACTTAAGCCCAACGCCTTAACCACTCGGCCATCGTGCTGCAACCTTCTCCTGATATCTTCTTCTAATGAAGGTTACTTATATTCCGCAAAAATTGTCAAATTAGCAAAACCATAACCACTTGGGTTCGAACCCACGAGGACAATTGTCCATTGGAACTTAAGCCCAACGCCTTAACCACTCGGCCATCGTTCTGCAACCTTCTCCTGATATCTTCTTCTAATGAAGGTTACTTATATTCCGCAAAAAAACAAATTAGCACGAGTGGGGTTCGAACCCACGAGGACAATTGTCCATTGAACTTAAGCCCAACGCCTTAACCACTCGGCCATCGTTCTGCAACCTTCTCCTGATATCTTCTTCTAATGAAGGTTACTTATATTCCGCAAAAACAAATTAGCACGAGTTAGGTTTCAACCCACGAGGACAATTGTCCATTGGAACTTAAGCCCAACGCCTTAACCACTCGGCCATCGTTCTGCAACCTTCTCCTGATATCTTCTTCTAATGAAGGTTACTTATATTCCAAAAAACAAAACCCAAGGGCAATTGTCCATTGCACGAACGCCTTAACCACTCGGCCATCGTTCTGAACCCACTTCTTCTAATGAAGGTTACTTATATTCATCAAAAACAAATTAGCATTGGAACCCACGAGGACAATCCATTGGAACTTAAGCCCAACGCCTTAACCACTCGGCCATCGTTCTGCAACCTTCTCCTGATATCTTCTTCTAATGAAGGTTACTTATATTCCGCAAAAACAAATTAGCACGAGTTGGTTTTCGAACCCACGAGGACAATTGTCCATTGGAACTTAACGCCCAACGCCTTAACCAATGAAGGTTACTCCGGCCATCGTTCGGTTCGAACAAATGCAACCGCTCCTGATATCTTCTTCTTCTAATGAAGGTTACTTATATTCCGCAAAAACAAATTAGCACGAGTTGGGTTCCAACCCACGAGGACAATTGTCCATTGGAACTTAAGCCCAACGCCTTAACCACTCGGCCATCGTTCTGCAACCTTCTCCTGATATCTTCTTCTAATGAAGGTTACTTATATTCCGCAAAAAACAAATTAGCACGAGTTGGGTTTCGAACCCACGAGGACAATTGTCCATTGGAACTTAAGCCCAACGCCTTAACCACTCGGCCATCGTGCTGCAACCTTCTCCTGATATCTTCTTCTAATGAAGGTTACTTATATTCCGCAAAAAACAAATTAGCACGAGTTGGGTTCGAACCCACGAGGACAATTGTCCATTGGAACTTAAAGCCCAACGCCTTAACCACTCGGCCATCGTTCTGCAACCTTCTCCCGATATCTTCTTCTAATGAAGGTTACTTATATTCCGCAAAAAACAAATTAGCACGAGTTGGGGTTCGAACCCACGAGGACAATTGTCCATTGGAACTTAAGCCCAACGCCTTAACCACTCGGCCATCGTTCTGCAACCTCTCCTGATATCTTCTTCTAATGAAGGTTACTTATATTCCGCAAAAAACAAATTAGCAAGGTGACAATTTCCATTGAACCCAAGCGAGGACAATTGTCCATTAGAAACTTAAGCCCAACGAGGTTACTTATATTCTCAGCCATCGGCCATCCATTGGAACTTAAGCAACGCTTAACCTGATATCTTCTCCTTCTAATGAAGGTTACTTATATTCCGCAAAAAACAAATTAGCACGAGTTGGGTTCGAACCCACGAGGACAATTGTCCATTGGAACTTAAGCCCAACGCCTTAACCACTCGGCCATCGTTCTGCAACCTTCTCCTGATATCTTCTTCTAATGAAGGTTACTTATATTCCGCAAAAAAAAATTAGCACGAGTTGGGTTCGAACCCCACGGAGGACAATTGTCCATTGGAACTTAAGCCCAACGCCTTAACCACTCGGCCATCGTTCTGCAACCTTCTCCTGATATCTTCTTCTAATGAAGGTTACTTATATTCCGCAAAAAACAAATTAGCACGAGTTGGGTTCGAACCCACGAGGACAATTGTCCATTGGAACTTAAGCCCAACGCCTTAACCACTCGGCCATCGTTCTGCAACCTTCTCCTGATATCTTCTTCTAATGAAGGTTACTTATATTCCGCAAAAACAAATTAGCACGAGTTGGGGTTCGAACCAACGAGGACAATTGTCCATTGGAACTTAAGCCCAACGCCTTAACCACTCGGCCATCGTTCTGCAACCTTCTCCTGATATCTTCTTCTAATGAAGGTTACTTATATTCCGCAAAAAACAAATTAGCACGAGTTGGGTTCAAAAACCGAGGACAATTGTCCATTGGAACTTAAGCCCAACGCCTTAACCACTCGGCCATCGGAAGGCAACCTTCTCCTGATATCTTCTTCTAATGAAGGTTACTTATATTCCGCAAAAACAAATTAGCACGAGTTGGGTTCGAACCCACGAGGACAATTGTCCATTGGAACTTAAGCCCAACGCCTTAACCACTCGGCCATCGTTCTGCAACCTTCTCCTGATATCTTCTTCTAATGAAGGTTACTTATATTCCGCAAAAACAAATTAGCACGAGTTGGGTTCGAACCCACGAGGACAATTGTCCATTGGAACTTAAGCCCAACGCCTTAACCACTCGGCCATCGTTCTGCAACCTTCTCCTGATATCTTCTTCTAATGAAGGTTACTTATATTCCGCAAAAACAAATTAGCACGAGTTGGGTTCGAACCCACGAGGACAATTGTCCATTGGAACTTAAGCCCAACGCCTTAACCACTCGGCCATCGTTCTGCAACCTTCTCCTGATATCTTCTTCTAATGAAGGTTACTTATATTCCGCAAAAACAAATTAGCACGAGTTGGGTTCGAACCCACGAGGACAATTGTCCATTGGAACTTAAGCCCAACGCCTTAACCACTCGGCCATCGTTCTGCAACCTTCTCCTGATATCTTCTTCTAATGAAGGTTACTTATATTCCGCAAAAAACAAATTAGCACGAGTTGGGTTCGAACCCACGGACAATTGTCCATTGGAATTAAGCCCAACGCCTTAACCACTCGGCCATCGTTCTGCAACCTTCTCCTGATATCTTCTTCTAATGAAGGTTACTTATATTCCACTTAGCACGGTTGGGTTCCCCACGAGGACAATTATCCATTGGAACTTAAGCCCAACGCCTTAACCACTCCCATCGTTATTCTTCTATCTTCTTCTAATGAAGGTTACTTATATTCCGCAAAAAACAAATTAGCACCCACGACAATTGTGTGGGTTCGAACCCACGAGGGACAACCGAGGCAATTGTCCATTGAACTTAAGAACCATACCAATGAAGCTCGATTCCCAAAAACAAATTAGCACGAGGTCGTTGTTCTGCATATCTTCTTCTAATGAAGGTTACTTACTTAAGCCCAACGCCTCCATAACCACTCCACTCGGCCATCGTTCTGCAACCTTCTCCTGATATCTTCTTCTAATGAAGGTTACTTATATTCCGCAAAAACAAATTAGCACGAGTTGGGTTCGAACCCCACGAGGACAATTGTCCATTGGAACTTAAGCCCAACGCCTTAACCACTCGGCCATCGTTCTGCAACCTTCTCCTGATATCTTCTTCTAATGAAGGTTACTTATATTCCGCAAAACAAATTAGCACGAGTTGGGTTCGAACCCACGAGGACAATTGTCCATTGAAACTAAGCCCAACGCCTTAACCACTCGGCCATCGTTCTGCAACCTTCTCCTGATATCTTCTTCTAATGAAGGTTACTTATATTCCGCAAAAACAAATTAGCACGAGTTGGGTTTCGAACCCACGAGGACAATTGTCCATTGGAACTTAAGCCCAACGCCTTAACCACTCGGCCATCGTTCTGCAACCTTCTCCTGATATCTTCTTCTAATGAAGGTTACTTATATTCCGCAAAAACAAATTAGCACGAGTTGGGTTCGAACCCACGAGGACAATTGTCCATTGAACTTAAGCCCAACGCCTTAACCACTCGGCCATCGTTCTGCAACCTTCTCCCTGATATCTTCTTCTAATGAAGGTTACTTATATTCCGCAAAAACAAATTAGCACGAGTTGGGTTCGAACCCACGAGGACAATTGTCCATTGGAACTTAAGCCCAACGCCTTAACCACTCGGCCATCGTTCTGCAACCTTCTCCTGATATCTTCTTCTAATGAAGGTTACTTATATTCCGCAAAAACAAATTAGCAAAGTTGGGTTCGAACCCACGAGGGGTTGTCCAAAGCCCAACGCCTTAACACTTGTCCAACCTTCTCCTGATATCTTCTTCTAATGAAGGTTACTTATATTCCGCAAAAACAAATTAGCACGAGTTGGGTTCAACCCACGGCCAATTGTCCATTGGAACTTAAGCCCAACGCTTTAACCACTCGGCCATCGTTCTGCAACCTTCCTCCTTATCTTCTTCTAATGAAGGTTACTTATATTCCGCAAAAACAAATTAGCACGAGTTGGGTTCGAACCCACGAGGACAATTGTCCATTGGAACTTAAGCCCAACGCCTTAACCACTCGGCCATCGTGCTGCAACCTTCTCCTGATATCTTCTTCTAATGAAGGTTACTTATATTCCGCAAAAACAAATTAGCACGAGTTGGGTTCGAACCCACGAGGACAATTGTCCATTGGAACTTAAGCCCAACGCCTTAACCACTCGGCCATCGTTCTGCAACCTTCTCCTGATATCTTCTTCTAATGAAGGTTACTTATATTCCGCAAAAAACAAATTAGCACGAGGGTTCGGGTTCCATTGGAACCCAACGAGGACAATTCTCTGATCCTTCTAATGAAGGTTACTTAAAAAACAAATTTGGGTTTCAAACCCAAGGACAATAACCACCATTGGAACTTAAGCGGCCATCTCGGCCATCGTTCCTTCTCCTGATATCTTCTTCTAATGAAGGTTACTTATATTCCGCAAAAACAAATTAGCACGAGTTGGGTTCGAACCCACGAGGACAATTGTCCATTGGAACTTAAGCCCAACGCCTTAACCACTCGGCCATCGTTCTGCAACCTTCTCCTGATATCTTCTTCTAATGAAGGTTACTTATATTCCGCAAAAACAAATTAAATTAGCACGAGTTGGGTTCGAACCCACGACAATCTTCTAATGACAATTGTCATTGGAACTTAAGCCCAACGCCTTAACCACTCGGCCATCGTTCTGCAACCTTCTCCTGATATCTTCTTCTAATGAAGGTTACTTATATTCCGCAAAAACAAATTAGCACGAGTTGGGTTTCGAACCCACGAGGACAATTGTCCATTGGAACTTAAGCCCAACGCCTTAACCAACTCGGCCATCGTTTCTGCAACCTTTTCCTGATATCTTCTTCTAATGAAGGTTACTTATATTCCGCAAAAACAAATTAGCACGAGTTGGGTTCGAACCCACGAGGACAATTGTCCATTGGAACTTAAGCCCAACGCCTTAACCACTCGGCCATCGTTCTGCAACCTTCTCCCTATCATCTTCTTCTAATGAAGGTTACTTATATTCCAAAAAACAAATTAGCACGAGGGGGTTCGAACCCACGAGGACAATTGTCCATTGGAACTTAAGCCCAACGCCTTAACCACTCGGCCATCGTTCTGCAACCTTCTCCTGATATCTTCTTCTAATGAAGGTTACTTATATTCCGCAAAAAACAAATTAGCACGAGAGGGGTTCGAACCCACGAGGACAATTGTCCATTGGAACTTAAGCCCAACGCCTTAACCACTCGGCCATCGTGCTGCAACCTTCTCCTGATATCTTCTTCTAATGAAGGTTACTTATATTCCGCAAAAAACAAATTAGCACGAGAGGGGTTCGAACCCACGAGGACAATTGTCCATTGGAACTTAAGCCCAACGCCTTAACCACTCGGCCATCGTTCTGCAACCTTCTCCTGATATCTTCTTCTAATGAAGGTTACTTATATTCCGCAAAAAACAAATTAGCACGAGTTGGTTCGAACCCACGAGGACAATTGTCCATTGGAACTTAAGCCCAACGCCTTAACCACTCGGCCATCGTTCTGCAACCTTCTCCTGATATCTTCTTCTAATGAAGGTTACTTATATTCCGCAAAAAACAAATTAGCACGAGTTGGGTTCGAAACCCCTCCTACGAGGACAATTGTCCATTGGAACTTAAGCCCAACGCCTTAACCACTCGGCCATCGTTCTGCAACCTTTCCTGATATCTTCTTCTAATGAAGGTTACTTATATTCCGCAAAAACAAATTAGCACGAGTTGGGTTCGAACCCACGAGGACAATTGTCCATTGGAACTTAAGCCCAACGCCTTAACCACTCGGCCATCGTGCTGCAACCTTTTCCTGATATCTTCTTCTAATGAAGGTTACTTATATTCCGCAAAAAACAAATTAGCACGAGAGGGTTCGAACCCACGAGGACAATTGTCCATTGGAACTTAAGCCCAACGCAATTGTCTTAACCACTCGGCCATCGTGCTGCAACCTTTTCCTGATATCTTCTTCTAATGAAGGTTACTTATATTCCGCAAAAAACAAATTAGCACGAGAGGGGTTCGAACCCACGAGGACAATTGTCCATTGGAACTTAAGCCCAACGCCTTAACCACTCGGCCATCGTGCTGCAACCTTTTCCTGATATCTTCTTCTAATGAAGGTTACTTATATTCCGCAAAAACAAATTAGCACGAGAGGGGTTCGAACCCCACGAGGACAATTGTCCATTGGAACTTAAGCCCAACGCCTTAACCACTCGGCCATCGTTCTGCAACCTTTTCCTGATATCTTCTTCTAATGAAGGTTATTTATATTCCGCAAAAAACAATTAGCACGAGAGGGGTTCGAACCCACGAGGACAATTGTCCATTGGAACTTAAGCCCAACGCCTTAACCACTCGGCCATCGTTCGGCAACCTTCTCCTGATATCTTCTTCTAATGAAGGTTACTTATATTCCGCACGAAACGAGGACAATTGTCCATTGGAACTTAAGCCCAACGCCTTAACCACTCGGCCATCGTGCTGCAAACTTCTCTGATATCTTCTTCTAATGAAGGTTACTTATATTCCGGAAAAACAAATTAGCCATTGGGTTCGAACCCACGAGGACAATTGTCCATTGGAACTTAAGCCCAACGCCTTAACCACTCGGCCATCGTGCTGCAACCTTCTCCTGATATCTTCTTCTAATGAAGGTTACTTATATTCCGCAAAAACAAATTAGCACGAGTGGGGTTCGAACCCCACGAGGACAATTGTCCATTGGAACTTAAGCCCAACGCCTTAACCACTCGGCCATCGTTCTGCAACCTTCTCCTGATATCTTCTTCTAATGAAGGTTACTTATATTCCGCAAAAAAATTAGCAAATTCGAACCCACGAGGACAATTGTCCATTAGGTTCTTAAGCCCATATCTTCTAACCACTCGCAAAAACAAATTAGCCATCGAGGACAACCCAACGCCTTCTTTTCCCGATATCTTCTTCTAATGAAGGTTACTTATATTCCAAAAAACAAATTAGCACGAGCCCCACGAGGACAATTGTCCATTGGAACTTAAGCAACGCCTTAACCACTCGGCCATCGTGCTGCAACCTTTTCCTGATATCTTCTTCTAATGAAGGTTACTTATATTCCGCAAAAAAAAACAAATTAGCACGAGAGGGGGTTCGAACCCACGAGGACAATTGTCCATTGGAACTTAAGCCCAACGCCTTAACCACTCGGCCATCGTGCTGCAACCTTTTCCTGATATCTTCTTCTAATGAAGGTTACTTATATTCCGCAAAAACAAATTAGCACGAGTTGGGTTCGAACCCACGAGGACAATTGTCCATTGGAACTTAAGCCCAACGCCTTAACCACTCGGCCATCGTGCTGCAACCTTCCCTGATATCTTCTTCTAATGAAGGTTACTTATATTCCGCAAAAACAAATTAGCACGAGAGGGGTTCGAACCCACGAGGACAATTGTCCATTGAACTTAAGCCCAACGCCTTAACCACTCCCATCGTGCTGCAACCTTCTCCTGATATCTTCTTCTAATGAAGGTTACTTATTCATTAGCACGAGGAGGGTTCAAAAACAATTGTCCATTGGAACTTAAGCCCAACGCCGTTAACCACTCGGCCATCGTGCTGCAACCTTCACCTGATATCTTCTTCTAATGAAGGTTCGCAAAAAAAAATTAGCCACGAACCCACGAGGACAATTGTCCATTGAACTTAAGCCATCCACTCATCGTGCAACCTTCTCCTGATATCTTCTTCTAATGAAGGTTACTTATATTCCGCAAAAAACAAATTAGCACGAGTTGGGTTCGAACCCCACGAGGACAATTGTCCATTGAACTTAAGCCCAACGCCTTAACCACTCGGCCATCGTTCTGCAACCTTTCCTGATATCTTCTTCTAATGAAGGTTACTTATATTCCGCAAAAACAAATTAGCACGAGGGGTTCGAACCCACGAGGACAATTGTCCATTGGAACTTAAGCCCAACGCCTTAACCACTCGGCCATCGTTCTGCAACCTTCTCCTGATATCTTCTTCTAATGAAGGTTACTTATATTCCGCAAAAAACAAATTAGCACGAGTTGGGTTCGAACCCACGAGGACAATTATCCATTGGAACTTAAGCCCAACGCCTTAACCACTCGGCCATCGTTCTGCAACCTTTTCCTGATATCTTCTTCTAATGAAGGTTACTTATATTCCGCAAAAACAAATTAGCACGAGTTGGTTCGAACCCCACGAGGACAATTGTCCATTGAACTTTAAGCCCAACGCCTTAACCACTCGGCCATCGTGCTGCAACCTTCTCTGATATCTTCTTCTAATGAAGGTTACTTATATTCCGCAAAAAACAAATTAGCACGAGCGGGGTTCGAACCCACGAGGACAATTATCCATTAGAACTTAAGCCCAACGCCTTAACCACTCGGCCATCGTTCTGCAACCTTCTCCTGATATCTTCTTCTAATGAAGGTTACTTATATTCCAAAAAACAAATTAGCACGAGTTGGGTTCGAACCCACGAGACAATTGTCCATTGGAACTTAAGCCCAACGCCTTAACCACTCGGCCATCGTGCAACCTTCTCCTGATATCTTCTTCTAATGAAGGTTACTTATATTCCGCAAAAACAAATTAGCACGAGTGGGTTCGAACCCACGAGGACAATTGTCCATTGGAACTTAAGCCCAACGCCTTAACCACTCTAATGAAAGGTTACTTATATTCTGCAAAAACAAATTAGCCATCGTTCCATTGGAACTTAAAGCCCAACGCCTCAACCACTCGGCCATCGTGCAACCTTCTCCTGATATCTTCTTCTAATGAAGGTTACTTATATTCCGCAAAAAACAAATTAGCACGAGTGGGGTTCGAACCCACGAGGACAATTGTCCATTGGAACTTAAGCCCAACGCCTTAACCACTCGGCCATCGTGCTGCAACCTTCTCCTGATATCTTCTTCTAATGAAGGTTACTTATATTCCGCAAAAAACAAATTAGCACGAGTCGTTCTGGTTCGAAACCCAATGAAGGACAATTGTCCACAATTGGAACTTAAGCCGCCTTAACCACTCGGCATCGTGCTGCAACCTTCTCCTGATATCTTCTTCTAATGAAGGTTACTTATATTCCGCAAAAAACAAATTAGCACGAGTGGGGTTCGAACCCCACGAGGACAATTGTCCATTGGAACTTAAGCCCAACGCCTTAACCACTCGGCCATCGTGCTGCAACCTTCTCCTGATATCTTCTTCTAATGAAGGTTACTTATATTCCGCAAAAACAAATTAGCACGAGTGGGTTCGAACCCCACGAGGACAATTGTCCATTGGAACTTAAGCCCAACGCCTTAACCACTCGGCCATCGTGCTGCAACCTTCTCCTGATATCTTCTTCTAATGAAGGTTTACTTATATTCCGCAAAAACAAATTAGCACGAGTGGGGTTCGAACCCACGAGGACAATTGTCCATTGGAACTTAAGCCCAACGCCTTAACCACTCGGCCATCGTGCTGCAACCTTCTCCTGATATCTTCTTCTAATGAAGGTTACTTATATTCCGCAAAAAACAAATTAGCACGAGTGGGGTTCGAACCCACGAGGACAATTGTCCATTGGAACTTAAGCCCAACGCCTTAACCACTCGGCCATCGTGCTGCAACCTTCTCCTGATATCTTCTTCTAATGAAGTTTACTTATATTCCGCAAAAAACAAATTAGCACGAGTGGGGTTCGAACCCACGAGGACAATTGTCCATTGGAACTTAAGCCCAACGCCTTAACCACTCGGCCATCGTGCTGCAACCTTCTCCTGATATCTTCTTCTAATGAAGGTTACTTATATTCCGCAAAAACAAATTAGCACGAGTGGGGTTCGAACCCACGAGGACAATTGTCCATTGGAACTGAACTTAACCACTCATGCCAACGCCTTAACCACTCGGCCATCGTTCTTAAGCCCAACCTTCTCCTGATATCTTCTTCTAATGAAGTTTACTTATATTCCGCAAAAAACAAATTAGCACGAGTGGGGTTCGAAACCACGAGGACAATTGTCCATTGGAACTTAAGCCCAACGCCTTAACCACTCGGCCATCGTGCTGCAACCTTCTCCTGATATCTTCTTCTAATGAAGGTTACTTATATTCCGCAAAAAACAAATTAGCACGAGTGGGGTTCGAACCCACGAGGACAATTGTCCATTGGAACTTAAGCCCAACGCCTTCGTGCTGCAACCATATCTCGGCCATCGTTAGCTGCGTCCTTCTCCTGGTATCTTCTTCTAATGAAGTTTACTTATATTCCGCAAAAACAAATTAGCACGAGTGGGGTTCGAACCCACGAGGACAATTGTCCATTGGAACTTAAGCCCAACGCCTTAACCACTCGGCCATCGTTCTGCAACCTTCTCCTGATATCTTCTTCTAATGAAGTTTACTTATATTCCGCAAAAAACAATTAGCACGAGTGGGGTTCGAACCCACGAGGACAATTGTCCATTGAACTTAAGCCCAACGCCTTAACCACTCGGCCATCGTGCTGCGTCCTCCTCCTGGTTCTCTTCTTATATTCCGCAAAAACAAATTAGCACGAGTTTTCGAACCCACGAGGACAATTGTCCATTGGAACTTCCCAACGCCTTAAAAACTCGGCCATCGTTCTGCAAATATCTTCTTCTAATGAAGTTTACTTATATTCCGGGAGGGGTTCGAACCCACGAGGACAATTGTCCATTGGAACTTAAGCCCAACGCCTTAACCACTCGGCCATCGTGCTGCGTCCTCCTCCTGGTATCTTCTTCTAATGAAGTTTACTTATATTCCGCAAAAAACAAATTAGCACGAGGGGGTTCGAACCCACGAGGACAATTGTCCATTGGAACTTAAGCCCAACGCCTTAACCACTCGGCCATCGTGCTGCGTCCTCCTCCTGGTATCTTCTTCTAATGAAGTTTACTTATATTCCGCAAAAAACAAATTAGCACGAGTTTCGGGGACAATTTCCAACCCACGAGGACAATTGTCCATTGGAACTTAAGCCCAAAACAAATGAGCACGAGGTGGGGTTCGCCTTAACCACTCGGCCATCGTGCTGCGTCCTCCTCCTGGTATCTTCTTCTAATGAAGTTTACTTATATTCCGCAAAAACAAATTAGCACGAGTGGGGTTCGAACCCACGAGGACAATTGTCCATTGGAACTTAAGCCCAACGCCTTAACCACTCGGCCATCGTGCTGCGTCCTCCTCCTGGTATCTTCTTCTAATGAAGTTTACTTATATTCCGCAAAAAAAAACAAATTAGCACGAGGACAATTGTCCATTGGAACTTCGAACCCCACGAGGACAATTGTCCATTGGAACTTAAGCCCAACGCCTTAACCACTCGGCCATCGTTCTGCAACCTTCTCCTGATATCTTCTTCTAATGAAGTTTACTTATATTCCGCAAAAAACAAATTAGCACGAGTGGGGTTCGAACCCACGAGGACAATTGTCCATTGGAACTTAAGCCCAACGCCTTAACCACTCGGCCATCGTGCTGCGTCCTCCTCCTGGTATCTTCTTCTAATGAAGTTTACTTATATTCCGCAAAAAACAAATTAGCACGAGTGGGGTTCGAACCCACGAGGACAATTGTCCATTGGAACTTAAGCCCAACGCCTTAACCACTCGGCCATCGTGCTGCTTCCTCCTCCTGGTATCTTCTTCTAATGAAGTTTACTTATATTCCGCAAAAACAAATTAGCACGAGGGGGTTCGAACCCACGAGGACAATTGTCCATTGGAACTTAAGCCCAACGCCTTAACCACTCGGCCATCGTGCTGCTTCCTCCTCCTGTTATCTTCTTCTAATGAAGTTTACTTATATTCCGCAAAAAACAAATTAGCACGAAACCCCACGAGGACAATTGTCCATTGGAACTTAAACCCAACGCCTTAACCACTCGGCCATCGTGCTGCTTCCTCCTCCTGGTATCTTCTTCTAATGAAGTTTACTTATATTCCGCAAAAAAAAAATTAGCACGAGCCCCACGAGGACAATTGTCCATTGGAACTTAAGCCCAACGCCTTAACCACTCGGCCATCGTGCTGCTTCCTCCTCCTGGTATCTTCTTCTAATGAAGTTTACTTATATTCCGCAAAAAACAAATTAGCACGAGTGGGGTTCGAACCCACGAGGACAATTGTCCATTGGAACTTAAGCCCAACGCCTTAACCACTCGGCCATCGTGCTGCGTCCTCCTCCTGGTATCTTCTTCTAATGAAGTTTACTTATATTCCGCAAAAAACAAATTAGCAGGTCGGTAGGAGGTCCAAGTCCTTTAACGCTGTTTCTGATAGGCAGAAACCAGCTGTGTTGTTTGATGCGTCGTCGATCATAGGTAATGCCTCGTATACGTTTGTTGTTTGATACTAGATATCCATCTGGATACCCTAGAAGCTTCTGGATCTCAGGTCCATCCGAACAGGTCTCTGCCTCGTTATCTGCAAAGGCGAGGATGGGATGCGCGCGTGTGGTTATTGGTTTCCGTGGTATGCGCCTAAAGGTAGCCTGACTCCCAGGCAACATTGTTATCTCTACCTTCACTAATGGGGACGGCTCTGGAGAGCTCCTTTGAATTTTTTTTCCATTCTACTCGAGATGGGGCACGTCCACTACCCGCATGCTGCCGTGCTTGTCAATTCGGCGTGTACATCTCGGAGTAACGCTGGTAAACATAAACGAGTCGTCGCTTTTTGACGTTCCACTCGTTGCTGGATACCGCGAGCTTCCGGTATACTTTCTTCATATGCCCCATTATCCCACAAAACTGGCATTTCATTTTGACCACCGGACAATCCTTCCGGTTCATTGACCCTCCAGGGTGCGAAGTCCTTCAACATCCGCTGCATGGTTTCTTGCGTCGTAGGGTCGAAGGGGTTTCAGTCTCCTGGAGCAGCTGTTCCTTGTCAGACATTTGCATGTTGAATGATGCAAGAGGGCGTGTGGTGTCGTGGAAGTGGACTGTAGACTTGTCTGTCGTTTCGAGGCAAACTAAACGATTGAACTTCCAGTCCAAAGTAACGAGCAAGGCTGCCTCTGCCAATATTTTATTTTGGTGGTCTAAATTGGCGAGTCCGGCTATCTTCTCTCCGGCAACCATATCTTCCGAATAATCCACTTTTTGCCCGCAAGTTTGCTCATTCAGGCATTGAACATTAACCTGGCAAAATTTCCCTTGGCCACGTAATCTTGATAGAAAGTGTGTTATGCACTCACCCTCGTTCTGCGTCATGGGGTGGAATTTCTGCCGGTGAACCTCTTTATGTAATCCTTTCACCGTGATAAGTCGTATCTGTTGTAATAGAAACTCCTCTGAAAAAGAGTTGAGCCTTGTAGGACCTATCAACTCAAATAATAGATGATTTGTTTCCGGTGTACATGTTGCCCGTAATTCATTCCGGACTGCGACTGGGTCCCCCAATCTGCTCATATCCTTGTATCGGGTCCAGGTGTCCAAAAACAACGCCCATTCTCCTTCCGTTATATCCAGCCCTATCGAGGGTCGTTCTGGTTTCATAACCTGCGGAATATTGGTGTGTTCACGAATCATTTCATTTCTGAGTTCGATATTTTCCTTCTGTAGCTCCACAAGATGATTCAGTAATTTCAAATATTCCTGCTCCATGGTGCTCGGCAGTGGGTAAGCCCAATGTCTATTGTAGTTTGGTAAAAATCCACGTTTCGCAAAACAATCCTGTTCGCAGCGCCATGTAAAGTGTGACGAGTACGTCCGATACTGTATGTCAGTAAAACACACCCGGCCGCCTTCACCGGTCCGCTTTATATACCATGCCAAGGGCAGGTAACTCTGTCCCAGCTTGTTTCGAGGGGCAGATAACTCTGTTCTCATCTACACAAAAAGCAAATTAGTACGTGACGTCTTGCAACCCACTCTTACCTCTGTCCATTGAAAGTTAAGTCAAACGCCATAACCACTCGGCCATCTTGCTACAGGTGACGGCTGATATTTTATCGTTTCGGACTTTACGTATGTTTCTCAAATACAAATTAGCACGGGTCGTGTCCAAACCACCGCGGACATTCTTTCATTGGATCTTATGTTCTCCACCTTAACTAATCGACCATCGCCTTACAGCTGATGACTAATTCCTTATTCTTATGAACGTTACGTATGTTCCTCAAAAAGGAATTAGCTAAGGTGTGGTTCGTACCCACGCCAGTATCTGTCCATTGTTACTTAACTCCAGCGCCGTAACCATACGGCCATCTTGCTACACTTGACGTCTGTTTTCTTTTTCTTATCAAATATACATATATTCCTCAAAAACGAATTAGCACGTGTGGGGTTTGAACTCATGATGGCTTTTGTCCAGTAGAATTTACCTCAAATGTCTTAACCACACGGCAATCTCGCTACAGCATTTTCCTGGTTGCTTATTCTTATGATATATACATATGTTTTTCGTATCTAATTCGCGCGTGTGGGGTTCGTATTCATACGGATATTCGTCCATCGGATCTTAAGTCCAACGCCTTTTAATTAATATAGCCCGATTATCATTTGGAGCCAAGTATCATATTGAACTCCTATATCGATCTACTTCTGTTAGCTGATTGTTTATTTACATGAAAGTCTATCTATATTTTCATTAATTTCAATAGAGCCCGAACAAATTTTGAACACATGCGTAGTGTTTTGTATAGGCCCTTAAGTTCAACGTCTTATCAATTTGGCCTTCTTTCAGCCTCTGCTCCAGACTTTTGAATTATGTAATTATTCATGATCGTCAAATTCAATATAGCACTTGCCTTGATCTTTCTTCAATTGAAAGTGAAAGCCAACGCCTTAACCACTTAGACATAATTCGACTGCTGCCAGTTGATTGATCGTACATGATGAACTGTATATACACGATATTCAAATTCAAAATGGAATGAGTGACGTTCTAACCTACCCGGACTTTCGAACATAAATCAACTAATTAACCCTTCCGTCACCGCTCTACTGCCACCAGTTGATTGATAAGTCTTGTGAAATATATCTACATAATCTTCAAAATGAAATGTTTCGTACACACGCTGACATTCGCCCATTTTAACTGAAGTCCAAACCATAAACGAACGTGCTTGCCTCTGCTCTCTACTGATATTTCTCAAGAACTGTATATACATGAGCTTCGAAATAATAATTGCCCATTCATAGAATCGGAGATTCTTCTAATTGGTATTTAAGTCCAAATTCTTAAACACGAAGCCACCGTGCTACTGCAGCTTGTGGATGGATAACATTAACTAACAGTATATATATATATATATATATATATATATATATATTTATAATTATTTTTTAAAATATGATTCCTTCGCTACATAAGAGTTCTCATGTTTCAAAAACAAGAGCCAAAAACTTCAATGTAATTATTAAAATTAAATTGAATTAAATTATCAAGCCCTGTTTCATCCTCAAGCGAAAATTTAGGAATCAGCAACTTGAAATTTACGCATCTTTATAAGCATGTTCATTCGCAAAATTAATTACTATGGAAACGGCTGGGGCGACCATTTTGGTAAGGGGCCTAAGAGTTAATATTTCGCCACATATCAGTTACCTTCGGAAAGGGTCAAGCATGGTCAGGGTGTCCATTTTTACAGCGAATGAAGGCCGTCATGTACGCACATCGTCTGGTCAGTCACAGCGAAAGATAGCTTTTGGCACCATAATATGTCGTTAAGTGTCTACAGAGTTTTGTTTTATTTATTTATTTATTTATGTTTTTTTCTGTTTTTTACCTAAAGTACTGAAG